GAAATACGCAAAAAGTAAAATGAACACTAAGCGGTCCAAATTTTGGATCACTCTCCTGGCCAAACAATGGGGACCCTATTTCCCAGATTGCGGCTACTTTGGAGTCATATATATATATATATATAACCAAACGAACCAATTTGAACAGCTAGACCATGAATAAATTCATTGAATCAGTCCCATTTAGAAGTGGTTTTAAATTATGTTCTAACTAAATTGATACCAACTGTCTTCAATACCTTAGTTGCCAAGAATGGGCCTAACCATAAAAATTGGATCGAGTATAATATTTTGCTTCATTTTTTACAATTAAATGACATTCTGTCTAATTTCTAAAAAATAAATCATCTCTGGGGCAATTAAATCTAAATTAAGATATATTTATAATTTATATCTTCTAAATGGGCGTCACAGAATGTTTTAAGTTTTTGTTTACGTATCCATAAACTTACTTGATAATACATTTACAAATCATGCTCATAAGCAGATTACTTGTTTTATTACATTGACTTGCATCGAGGCGATATTATATATTTAAAAGAAAAAAACCCTTACTAACGCAGTCATAGACACATTCTGGCTTACAGAATGGTTTATTCATTCTATTATTTCAATATTTATTTAACAACTCTAAGGAAGGAAAAGGAGGAAAGGTCTGAATAGTAAAAAAAGCTAAAATTACTTTAATATGAACTGAAATGAATTTTCCTTAATTAATAGGAGCTCAAATTGTGGTCAGTCAAGGCATAAAAAAGGGGGAAATCGATAAATCACTTTTATAATTATTGTTGGAACAATTTAAGTAAGGAATAAAATGGAATGAAAATTACAAATTAGTTATATTTAATGTAGTTTTATTTTATTAATTTAATTCATTTCAAAATATATTTATAAATTAGTTTGTATAAGAGTAAAATAAGTGAAGTCTCTTAACGACTTTTAACACAACATTGACTTTCAATGAATCTATATTTGGAGTTCCTTTTTTTACCCTTTGTGACCAATGATCAAAAGTATATAACGTTTTCATTGCTTTATTATACTCAATTTCATATTTTTTTTCTTCAGAAATGAACGAATTTCTTTTCTGTCATTTAGGATAGAAGCAACAGTATGGAGAGGAAAATCACGAAAACTTCCCATAGTATTTAACGTACGAGTTGGAAGCAGGGATCGGCTTTATTTTATGACAATCTTTCAAAATTTATGTCTAAACTTTCTTAAAATGCAATTTTAACTGTTCGGTAGTATGTCAAGAATTACAAATTTCTTGTTTAAAATTTAACTTGATTATGAGTAGGTTTCGATAATATTTAAAAATAATTTACTTTTCAAAAAAAAAAAATTTTTTTTTAATTATAAATAGTATACATACATATTAAAATAGAAACTTTTTGCACTTTAAATTTGGAAACTATTTAATTTATATAAAATTAAATCATTATGCTCAATTATAGTAGCTTGTAGCAATATTTTTTTTTAATTTATCAGCAAATTTCATTCTAAATTTAAAGTATTAAATTAAAGAAAATACTTAGCAATCTCTAAAGGAAATTATTTGAAAAAAATTATTAGCAAATATTAAGAAAAAATATTAAGACAAATATTAAGAATTTCCCCTAAATCAAAGTAATAAATCTTTAATTGAACTATTCATCAGTAAATTTAGTATGAAATTTGATGATAAATAGAAAAATTATTGCTACTAGCTATTATAATTGATAATAATGATTTGTTTTTACAAAAATTAAATTGCTTCAAAATTTAAAAAAGAAAAATGCTTCTATTTTAATATGTATGAATGCGACTTATAAATAATCTTTTTTTTATTAAAAAAAATTAATGGCAATTTATTATTTTTAAACATTAGTGAAACTTACTCATAATCAAGTTAAATTTTAAACAAGAAATTTGTAATTCGTGAAATACTATCGAACAGTTAAAGTTGCATTTTAAGAAAGAACTGTTTATAATTTCAGTTTAAGGATTCCGAGAAAATCTACCTTTATTGCGATCTAAAGAAATAATACTCTACTGAAGAATTAAAATAGAATTTCTAGAAAGAAATGTTTATAGTTAAAAGGATTTTAATGATTCTCAGAGAGCTGCGAGGGCTCAGGAGATAGGTGATAAATAGAGCCCGGATTTTGTTGACCTAAAAAATCTCAACTAATGCCCTTAAAAAGTGCAAAAAATGCCCTTAAAAAGGGCTAAAAATGCCCTTAAAAATGCAAAAATTGCGCAAAAAATGCCTTAAATAAAGCAAAAATATTGAATTAAAAAAATATTTTGGTCTTTAAAATTATTATGAGTCATTTAAAAAATATAAAGCAATGCAATACTTGTTCTACGTTCATTAAAGTTTGAAAAATATGTTTTATATCCTAAAATAACAAAAAAAGGAAAATATATTGACACCAAAATATTTTTATTTTGTATAGAAACTTTAATGGATATAACAACTTCCATCTCATAATATTACTAAATATCAGAATTACATTGGATTATTAAATGTTTTTTGATAATTTGAAATGTAAACGAGCGTCTCTTGTCTGAAAGTAAATTTTCATTCCTGCAGAAGCTTCTTTCAACGTCTACTGATGTTATAGGTGCGTACTTGAAAAAGACGGTCTCACTTACTGACAATTCTTCTTCAATTTGAAAAGATTTTGCTTCACCTGTTAATATTCTATAGATTTTCTTCATTGTTTGGAAGCCAGTGTAATAATGAAAATTGATAAAAAATAATAAAAATTGGAAAAAATTAACAAAAAACTTTAAAAAATGCATTAAAATGCAAAATACGCCCCAAAATTTAAAGAAAAATGCCCTATAAATCTAAAAAAATGTTCTAAAAGACAAAAAATGTCCAAAAATGCAAAAAATGCAAAAAAATGCAAATGTCATCAAAATCCGGGCCTTAGTGATAAAGCTTGGAATTCAGATTCTGTTTTCAACCCAGTGCTGACGTAAAATATATTCAGTGGTACACAGATCATGGATTCAAATCCCTCGTCGTAGGGATGGGAGGGCTTCGTGGTTTTCCTCTCCATGCAACGCGAATGCTGGTTAGCTCCATCAAAAAAGTAGTTTCTCCCAATGCTTGATCCAGAAGATTTCTTGGTTCAAAATTACAAGGTTAAGCATTGAAAACTCAGAACTGTTCAATGCCGGTCATCTAATAAAATAAAAGCAATGATAAACTACTGAACAATTTTAAGAATCCACGCGTAATACAATTGAAAGAAATAATATATCTCTGAAAATTTCAAATTAAATTCGTGTAATTTGGAAAGTTTTATTAGAGAGTCTCAAAAACTCTCTACTGAACAGTTAAAATTGAAGAAGGACCCTTTCAAAAGTTTGAATGATTCTCAGAAAATCCAAAGAATAATACTTCATAAAAAATAAGTTTTCTGTTAAAAATCATTTTTCAATATATTATTCGTATCTTTAAAAGTGGCTAATATGACCAGAAACAGAAATGAAAGAAAAGTCGCTTTATTTACTCTGTTTCCACATACAACTCGCAAATAAATTATTTGTCGTTGCACAAAAGTTTTCTATACAACTGTTTGTTATTGCAATCCACCCTTTTTCATCTTCCTCGAATAACCCTCAATATATATAAGATGCAGTCTCCATAGTTTGCTCCCTTTTATGTTAACTTTTGCGTATTTCAAAGAAGAAAGTAAAAGAAACGAGTTTCAAATATTTAAATTTCGATTTCATTGATTTCGCTCAAATATCGCATTTTGCTATTTAGTATTGCGTATTTTAAAATGAAGTAAAAAATTGCATACCTTACAATTCAAAATTTTTTTGACTATTATTAAAATAATAAAAAATAACGAACGTTTACTAAAATTT